AGAGACACTACTGTCGCTGGTCCAGGAGGTGTTGAGATCTAGAGATGGCAGTGGGAGGGGAATTTCAACTGATTTAGAGACCTTGGACAGAGTAGGCTCTGCCAGATTGAAGGTTGAGCAGCAGCAGCTGGCTCCCATCTGAGTTCCTGGGTCTGCTCTTCAGTGTACAGATCCCAGGAATTGAAGGCTGGGCCTCTCTGGCAGGAGTCTGTGACCTGTCTGCAATGCTCTAATCCCTGGGGCTCCCACCCACATGCTAACAAGGCAGCAAGAAGGAGTCATAACTCCCGTGGCAGAAAAGGAGTTGGAAGAGACTTGGGTTGCAGAGGAAAAAATATAATATGGACAAAGCAAGCATGGGGGGGGGTACTTGCAAATGTGCTTTACAGGTAAATGACTTCTGCATGAAAGTCTGGAATTTCACCTCCCGCCATCCCTCCCCAAATCCCAGATTCTAGACTTCTTGGCTTCTGTGCTAGAGGAATCCTGGGAGGAAGATGTCTGAGGCAGACCAGGTCCTTCTCAATTGGGGTAGGGAGTTGAAACCCAAAGGTGAAAGGGGTACTCTTAGCTTTCTGACATTCCCAAGACCCTAGAATCCCCTGGCTCTCCTGTACCCATTTTCTGGCTCTCAGAGGAATGGATTCAAACAACTGTTGAAGAAACTAGGCTATTTCTGGAGTACCCCCGAGAGCTTCTGGAAAGAGCTCTTACAGATGCCTCTGAGATAGGCAGAGGCTATCCTGGTGAGGCCAGCCTGCTGAGGATAGTGGAAAACATCTTGCTCTCAACAAGACTTTGTTTCCAATTCCTCATATTTGCATGATTACTATTGTTATCTCTACAGCTACACCCCAAGAAATGACCCAGAGGAACTCACAGAACTTCCTCCACATTGCTAGCCACATTTGCCCTCTAACACCTCCACATCATGACAGTTATTTCTGCGACCTAAGATCTAAGGTCTCAAGCCATCCCTAGTCACTTAGAGATGCTGTCTCCATCTGCAGATGGTTAGTGTGTCATGAGGTCAAAAGGGGCTGGAGATCCTGGAACCCACCACTCCAACATGACCTCCTGCCCAATCCTTCATGAATATCCCAAGCCCTCAAGCTGCCACCTGTTCAGCATTTGTCAGAGCACAAGGGGTGACTGGAACTCATCTGCGCTTGCTCCTAACTTTGGTCAAAACTCCTTTTGTCCTTCTTGTAAGTGATCCTCTACTGAGGATGAAAAGAACTGCCCAGCAGCCCTTCTCAGACCCCAAGAAGTTTCTCTCTTCAGCCTTCTCCCCTCCAGGTCCTCTATGCTCTCTCTTGTATTTTCCTGTCCAGCTCAAATCAAAGCACCCCTTCATTCAACCCGTGCTTCTAAAGTAGTCCCCATTTTGGGATAAGAATATGGAAGCCAAGAGAGAAAAATGCATTTGCCAAAGGTCAAACTTTCCTTTCTGCAACAAGCACCTACCAGTAGAGGGTGGGTGCTGGGAGAGACAGGAGTCAGAGGAAGAGAGAAAGGCCCTGTGGGCCCTGCCAGAGTGCTGGATTTCCCAAGAAGGTGCCCTTGGATCAGGTCCTACGTTATGAAAAAATGAGTAGGAGCTGACTGCGCATGGGCAGAAATGGTGAAGCAAGTTCTGCCTTTTGTTTTCTGTGGTGTTTTCTCCCCTTCTTTGTAGGCTAAACCAGGCAGTGCCTGATGTCAGCATTTTCAACAGGGATCCCTATTTGTGTGACAGGAATCCTGATGCCTCTTTTCTCCATAGCAAACCCTCTGCCACATCAAGCTCTCTGGGAAAGCAACTTAGTCATCAGAAAGTGGTATTCTGAGTCAACTATCACAGGCTTCAGCCCGAAGGGACTGAACCTCATGCCTGAGGCATGCCCACAGTTGGATCCAAAGACAGGGACCACCAACAGCCACTATGCAGTGTGGGCTTGCTGACCACGGGCCCCAGAGGCCAAGTCTTCTTTGAATGCAGTGTGTGTCTCCACAACTCTGAAGCCCCCATCCTGAGTCCACTAGCAGTAACCTTAAGGGCAGCTGTGCAAGAACAGGGGCCACAAAGCAGGCATTAACAAGTAGGCAGAGAACTGCCCTTCTTCTCTTCTACCTACTCTCAAAATTCCCAGCTCTCTCTCAAGACAGGAAGTGAGCACTGCTCATAGGAAAAGAGCAGGCTGTGTTTCTGCAAGCAGCCTCTCGGCTTCTGCAGCAGACCAATTCTCCAAGGACATCTGCTTACGCTGCAGATCTCTTCCAGCCTCCTCAGCCCTGACTTTAAGTCTGCACATCAGCCCTGGGGAACGACATGGACAGGGCCTCTTGGCCTTACGTTTTTTTCAGAAGCCTTTTACCTGCCCAGACCCCCCTCCTTCTTTCCTGTCCACACCCTCTTACTTTGGTCATTCTAGCAGGGATTGTGATCTAAAAAGACCTGCCAAATGTTTTCACATGGACCCACAGGAGAAGGTGAAGGGGATCCGGTCGGTGTCTCAGTTTCCCTTTGGGAAGAACTGACACCAGCTAATACCAGGACCAGGACAGTGTGCTAGGGGACTGACAGCAGATCAGGGAGAGGAACTCTCCAACCTATTGCCCGGAGCAGGGTGTATGCTCAGTGAGGACAGTGTCTTTACAGCACCAAGGGTAAGAGACAGGCCCAGAGACCACACTGTGTTCAGAACCCAGATCAGCAACCATCCTCTTGGACAAACCTGAGCATGTCACCCAATGTCTTACTTCCTTGATTTCCTCCCTTTTATTCAAGCATCTAGGTACAAGGAGAGTGTTTAACTGAGGATGGGACTTTCTTCCTCTAAGGTCATGGGAGCAAGAAGCCAGACAAATTGTGGGAACCCAAGTCCACTCCCAACCATGGGTGCCCAAAGTCTGGAGTGCAACATGAGAAGTTTCTCCAATCACCAGAGCCCTAGAAAGCAGCCTCTCCTTCCTCCTTCCTCCCAGAAATAATCTTGTCCCATGTCACCATAAGGCTGGCAATGAAGCTGGCCTCATGGCCAAGCAAGCAGAGGGCAAATTTTGTGTCATGTGTGACCAGCAATGATATAGGCCACGGCTTGGAGCAGCATCTCTACCACTCTCTATCAGTCACATGTGGAGGCTGCAGTGAGAAAAGAGAAGGGCAGGCTTCTGGCTTCCAGAATGCATCAAGCCAGAATTGGGGGTGTTTTCTTGGTATGCAACTGAAGACAGTTCAAGGATCAGGTGCCAGTACCTACCTCAGCCAATTCCTGAGCGCGGGGAAACCAGAGTCTCTGCCCTACCAAGTCTTAGAAGGGTTTAAAGGCCTCTGGGAACTCAAAGCACTTTGAGGAAGGGCTATGCTAGGTTCTAGTCGCTCCTAGGACCTCTGCCCTCACGTTGGAAGGGTTTTGTCGTTAAAGTACACAATCACTCCTGTTATGATTCAGATGACAGCTCCTTCCAGTCCCTCAAGAGACTTCTTTGCATGATGTGGGGCTGATTTCTCTCCTATCCCTCTTGACCTGGAGGCTGCTGAACTTTCATTCAAAGTCTCCCTCCTCCAGGGAGCCTTCCTAATCTTTCCAGCTAGGGTTGCATCCCTGATGCAGGTTTAGGGAGCCCATGATGCTTTTATGACTCTCAAAGCTGCAGCACCCTCTGTGGTCATGAGCCACATTTTGTCACTGACTCATGAGTGTCCAGAGCATGCAAATAAACAGATTTTGAGCACCTGCTGTGTGCCTGGCCTTGACCTAGGTACCCTCTATCCGTTCCACCCCACTGAGTGCAGGGCCCCAGCTGGCAATAGATGGGATCAGGACAGTGTGAAGGTGCTATTCCTCCCAACCTTGTAGTGAGTGGGCTGAGGTGAACAGCACATATTCCAAAGTCCTCCTGCAAACTGTACCTGGTGTGTGCACCTGTGCCCTGGAGACTTGTGGGCACCCAAGCTGGCACTGTTTGTTCAGATGAGCCACTTAAGGCCATGGTAAGATAAGCACTTCCTAAGCTTCCTGCTGCAGCTCTCCAGTTCAGAGATTCAGAGCCCCTCACCACTATTCAGGCTTATCAGCATGTGGAAACCTGCTTCCTGCCCCAGTCTAAGCACCATGACCAGAAATCCAAAGAGCCATGAGAGCAAGACAAGACCAAGAGCAGCTGTCCCCACCTACCTGCCTTAAGGACAAGACTCAATACAAATGGCTTGTGGAGAACACAACTCCCAACAAACTTCTCAGACTTCACAACTTTGGAGGGGGAAGATGGGCCTGGTAGGCTTCTCCTTGTGACGAGTGGAGCTGCTAAGTGCCACAGCCTGAAGGATGTAGCAGAGCAGAGAGGAGGGACTGAGTTTTCAGCCTTTCTCAGAGGCCAAGTATCACTATGCAGTTCCAAAGAGGACAAGTCTCTTGGCTCCTCCTGTCCCTGCACAAACAATCCAGTCACAGAGCATGCTCACAGCAGATCCGGCTGATAACACCGCAGTGACACTTGATTCGGCACCTTCTGTCTAAGTACCAGCAGTTCCCTTCTGAGCCCTGAGGTTGCCCCTTGCCCAGCACATGTCTATCACAAAACACCATCAAGTCTCTTTGCCCTGAGCTCCAAGACAGTGAAGAGATTCTTGGAGTAAACATGCCTCTGTATCTCAGTTTCTTCATCTACAAAATGGGCACATTTTACTGAGGATGTGAGATTCTGTGATTCTTGCAACACACCGACTCCAGGCTCACCCTGCCCCCTCCCGGCTGGCAGTCTACCAACAATTGGACTCATCCACAAATGATTAGGACGGAGGGACTTGTTCAGCCAGGGAGCCACTTGTCTTTGTTGGTCACTCTAACCACGCCTGCCTCTCTGTTTCTTCCCTGACGGTGAAAAACAGAAAACTGTGGGAACTGTCTCCCTACGGAGCGAGTTTTGGTAGGGAAACCAAGGCCCTGGCTAAACTGGGTGCCCCTTGCTGCCTCCCAGTGGGCCGTGTCCTTCCGACGGTGACTAGACATCCCTACCTGGTACAGGCACTTGGACAGCAGGAATTGGTGTGCAGGTTCCCTCTGGTGGGTAGCCTTACTGGAGCTGTTGGTAGGAGCAGGGTGCAGCAGCCACAGCACAGGGAAGCCAGGAGGTACAGATGGGGCTCAGCCTGAGAACAAACAGGTTTTCTCTGGCTGCAGGGAGCCTCGCCCCTCCCCTTGGCCGGCCCCTTTCCTCTGCCCTCTCTTGGGGTAGGTAGATGTGCCTGGCACATTCCACACATTCTCTTGCCAGTGTCCTGGGTCCTCCCACTGCTTCCCTGCTCAGCCCCAAGGAGCTGCTGGAGAAATCAAGGCTGGGGCTCCCCTTGCCTGGCTCAGAGCTCACTCCACAAAGTTTTGCAGCCATGGAAAACTTCCAGGCTAATTTCTCTGGGCTCCCAGCCCTGGAGCCGGGAGGCCTCCACCACGTGAAGGGCCCCCGCATCCTTGTGGCGTCCCTGCCTGCGCCTGGCCTGTCTAGAGAGAGCCAAAGACTTCCACAGATGCTGGCGGGTGGGTCAGTTCTGGCTAGAACTACTGTGCCTAGATCCATTTTACAGATGGAGATCCCAGACAGGGGCGGGGAAAGGACCTGGAATGGGGTGGGGTGGGGTGGTGGTGGTGGTGGCTGAGATCATGCCAGAAGTCAGGCAGAAGAAGAAAAAAAGTGATCAAGAAGCTTCTGTCTGGCGCCTGGGAAAACTTGCTCCCTGGAAGGCCATACTTGGAGACAGCAGGGCAAGGCACAGAAATCAGGACTGCCTGTCAGGCCAGACCCACATTCATTTTGATAAGTGACATACAGACACACTTTTTGAATACTTAGTGTGTGTAAAGAACTGGGTAGGAGGATGTAGGGGTTGTGGAACTTAACAGAATGTCCAGAAAAGGCTCCTAACTCCATCTGTGAGGTCAGGCAAGGCCTTCCAGAAGAGGAGATAGTTAAGCTCAAGCAATAGCTGGTCAGTATGATAGGCTCAATAAAGAAATAAAAGGGGGGAGGGTGGTGGCAATAAGTCCCATTTGCTGGAGTGTCCCAAGTTTTATATTGGATCTGCCCACTGCTATCCCTGCCTGTCACTCATCCTTCCCACTCAGTCACCATACAGTAAGCAGCTTCACTGGGTGAATATGACCAGATGCTACCTGCTTAGAGCTCTTTCCTCCGGCATCCTCTTGCTCTTGGGGTGGAAGCAGATGCCTTCAGAAGGCCTAATGGTCAACCTCTCTGCGCAAAGACCAGCTGCCTCACCACTGCATTGTGCTCACCCTGACTTCCCCAGTCTTCTGAGTACATCACGGGCCTTCACACCTCAAAACTTTGTTCCTGTATCCTCTTCAGTGCCCTTCCTGCTAGTGAACTCAGTCCTCCTTCTGACTTCATCCAACTGTTGTCCTCTCTCGCTGGCTACCTAGTCACGTTGGCCATTCCTTTTGTGCATTCACTCCTCTAGTTCCCTCAGAAGCCAGTGAGTGACTCTCTGTTCTCAATGGTGAGCTCTGGGAGGCTGGTACTCCCATTCTGATTATCTCTGGGTCACAGAGATCAGCCTGGAGTATCTGGGGAGTTTGTAGAAGGAAGGGATGGAAGGAAGACTGCAACTCTGAAAAGAAGTTTCTTTTTATTTTGTGGGGTTTATCACACAGAAAGGAAGTGCTGTGTGTTCTGGGAGAGTGGTCAATCTTTGTATCCTGCCAACAGGTGTTTTCCTCCTTCCAACTGAGTTGGTTCCAGGCCAGTGGCCAGCATGCTTCTTCCCCTTCCCCCACCAAGGCTACTGATGGCCTTGCATTTGGCTTGGCATTTTAGCTCCCAAACATACTAACCTAGGATGGATCACACATCCTTTTTGGACTCAGCCTGAAAGGAGGCAGAATGTAAAGCCCAACGTGATACCTCATGGGTAGCAGTGAGCAAGGCAGCAGCACTTGTCTCCCAAGGCCTTGAAAAAATGAAATCTCTGCCCCTGAGCCTTGAATCAGGAAGGGGCAGCTGAAGAGCATGAGCAAGAGTGGTGTCCAATAGCATAGCTGGCCACTGAGGGCTGCCCAGGACCTCCAGTTCTTTCCCTGTCCAAAGTGACTCAGCCCCTGCCCAGTGACATATCCCTCATGGCAGCTCTAGCCAAAGAGACCAGCCTTCAACTCCTCCCTCCTAGCCAGGCTGCCAGGCCCTGGAGAGGATCTTGCCTGCAAACGGGTTTGACTTGAATGGTAAGTGCTGTGCCCTGCCCTGTCCTGCCCACCTGTTCAGTGCCCCAACAGAATCTTCCAATGATACTTTCCACCCACACCTTCTTCCAGGGCCACCTCTAGTCACCTCATCCAGGCACCATTTGGGGGAAGAGGAGCTATGCAGCCCACGCTGGACTCAGATTAACAACAATCCTCATGCCTCAGCCTCCCAAGTGCTAGGATTCATTCAGATAAACCAAGTGCTGTCATATGATCAAACCCCTATGCTTGGGACCACATCTCTTTCTCTGGGGACCTTGGGTAAAGTCTTACATTCTCAGCTGTCAAGTTGTTATCTCCATGAGCCTTTCTTTGGATTTTGCTCATGTTCAAGCCCAAGGTTCTGGTGGTTACTAGCTGCTTCTTGGCTGTACCTGTGTCTGGCCTGCAGCTGGCCCTGCCCTTCTTTTCTACTACTATGCCTCAGCACCTGGCTGAGCCGTGAGAATGGTCAAGAAGCTTCCCCTTTTCAGAGTCACAATTTCCCCCTCCATCTTTTCCTTCTGGCTCAGGCATTCTTCCAGCTTGGGTGGCAGTGCCCTAGGGGTTGGGCAGCAGCCCCCAGGATTGTCATCAACAAGGCACTGCTCTGAAAGCACAGAGCAAGTTCTAAGTGTGGAAGGCTCCAGGAGCAGGCTGGACTACCAGGAAAGGTAGGTAGTGTTCCTGTTCACTGGGGGCCAGAACTCAGGAGCAGGTAACCAAAACAGTTTCTCTGATAGGTCAGACTGGAGTCAAGAGATGGGCCAGAGGACAAGTGGCTATGTGAGAGATGGTGAAGCAGGATTACTAAACTCCCCAGGGTGGCTCCTTGCCATCTGCAAGGCTGGAGGCAGAGCTCCTAATTAGCTGAAGCATTCCCAGGCTTGGATGGGAATAGCAGGTGGCATCCAGAACGCTGTCAGGACTCAGAGGTGGCCCAGGCAGAATTCCTACAGCAGAGAACACCAGAGACAAATGCCCTGAAGCCTGCAGTTGCACACATGGAGAAATGGAAACAGGTAGAGGGACTGGACCTAAGGATCGCACAGCTAGTCTAGTGCAGATCTCCAGAGGCTCTGGATGGACTGTGTGTACAACTGGTAGAATCTGGGGAGCTCAAGTTTGTGAATATGGAGTGTCAGGTTCCTGCTTGTACCCTAGTCCCTGCTTCCCCTCCTTCTCTGGTCCTGCCCTGCTGTCTCATCCTGCTAAGCTCTTCAACCAGTTTATACTTGCTGAGTGACTCTGCTGACTCTCAGCAGGGTGTGTCCCCTGGGGCTAAGGGTCCCTAAGCTAGTCAGAACCATGCCCAGAAATGGACCTGTAGAGCCCTGAGCCTATGGAACCTCTGTGTTTGTAATCATCTCACCTGCTAGGAGTTAGCCTAAAATCTCAGCATTGGGGTGAATTCCTCACCTACAATATTTTGCCTTCAGGGATCCCTACAATTCCAGTAGTTTCCAGTCTCCACTATGAGGTTGTGCCTCTTCTCCACTTACACACAAACTTACTTATCAAGAGCTCCCACTATACTGCCATCTCCATTACACTGCTAGCTCCCGTCTTGCGTCAGAAGCAAAGTAGTCTCTTTCTGAAGAGCAGCTTCTATGCCCAGAAATTGTTTGCTCCACAGGCTGCAACCTTTCTGGACATCTTGAACTTATCTTCCAGTTAGGGGGCTAAGAGGTCATGCACCTCCTGAGAAGAGCCACTTTCAAAGGTCTTCCAGCCCTGTCCTTGGAGCTGTGCTGTCTTGAATACCCAGGACACACTCCACCAGCAGTCTCTGTCTGCATCACGTGATACCCCAGAACAGACTCTGCCTTTTCTCTCTGGCTCTGAAGCTGCCGTAGGCCAGGCCTTCAGAGCACGAGTGCACAAGCTGAGCCAAGGCCTTGCTGGCAGATAATCCCCACATGCTCTGAAGAATGGCTTTTTGCTGCTTTAAGAATCATCCACAGATTGGAAAAAAAGAATGTTCTAATTGGAAAACCTCCCCGCCAGGGTTTTCCGGAGTTTTAGTAAAGTTGGCCAGCAAGGAGGCTCCTGGGATGAGGAGAAAGAAAAGTCATGAGGAGGAGACAGTGGGCTCCTTGCCCAGTGCCCCCTCATCTCCTGAGCTAGCTCAGCCATTGCTGGTCAGCATGTAGCCCCTGTTGAGGACTTGGGCTTGTCAGCCCTGGAAGTCCAGAGGCTGCCTGGCTTTAGCCTGGAGCTTCTTCCTGGAGTGCATCCCAAACCAGCTCCCAGGGGCCCCGCTGTTGCCCCAGAAGTATTCCAGGCTCTTGGGACCCTCTCATGAGACTGATGTCCATCTGTCACTGTAAACCAGGGCCTGAAAGAGGAAAGGTGTAGAAGCTGCATTGTGGTTAGAAACGGGAAAGCATAGTCAACTCTGGGGTCTGTGGAGCTCATGTCTCTAATGGGCCCTGCATCTGGAGGCTTGGCAGCCTGGACTTGAACTTTTGAACAGCTCCATCTGTTGAAGGAAGCACAGAAAGGGGTACCTTGGACTCTGGTCCTGCTAGGCCTTGCCTGGTAAGCCACTGGCTGACAGAGCTATTTGAGGCGCTTTCAAGTGGATCTGCAGTTTTGTTGAGCTCTGTCCTTGGACTTGTAGAGCACAACCTGGGTAGGGGAAGTGCAGCACACCCCTGAAGCCACAGTGCACCCTTTTCGCCCAGGAGAGGGCAGGTCACTGTGGCTCACTTCTTACAGGCTGCAGACATACTGATCTTTCTCAGAAACCTCCCTGGATGCCTAGCTGCCTTGCTTTCCTCGAGGGAAGCAACCTTTAG